AGACCCTGCTACAGAGCAGTCTCAGCATTTCTGGAGGGTTCTGAGATCTGTCCTGTGAGGTCACAGCTCTGTAACTTGCAGTGAGCCCCCAGTTCCCTCATGGATGCAGTGCTGAAGGCACCAGGCTGGAACCCTCTTTCCTGTCACATGAAGGGATGGGCACACACAGCACTTGGAAATGGGCAAAAGCAACTCCCTGCCACCAGTTCCAACTCTCTGCAAAGGGACCCAGCTGAGTTTTGGCTGAACTCTSCTGTCCTGGGAAAGCCCCAGTCTCACAACGCCCTGGCTGCACATCCCACCACTCTACAAGGGAATGAAAAGGAGTCAGACACGTCTCTTTCCTCTCCACACAACATTGCAGGTGAAGTTCTAYGGTTTGGTAAGGCATTTTCATCTTCAGTGAGAATCCAAGCTCAGGCAGGAAATCTGCCAAGTCGTGTGAACTTCATCTCTCAACAGCTTCAAAATCCAGGATGTTCCGCTCCCTCCTCAGATGGAACAATCCCTGKCCCAGTGGGCATTGTTTATTTAACACCAGTACAGAACAGGGCTAAATAAACCCCTCAGCAGCTGGACCTCAGGATCTTTCACAAAGAGGGACACACAAACAARCACTTTTTGCAGCTCTCTGGCTTTATCCCACAACCTGCCTTTTTACAGTATCCCTATATATAAATTAGAAAGAGATAAAGCCAAKGATTCACTGCAGCATCCATGAAAAACTCCAGTCTGTGTCCCAGTCCCTCGGGATGGTGCTCACTGAGGGGTGAAGGTGAGGATCATCCAGCTGATGACGAAGTAGAAGAGGAAGATGGGGTACACGACGAGCGCCTTGCGGTTGGGGGGCTGGCTGTCTGCCAGGAACGCCGTGGATGCTGCAGAGACACAAACACGTAGAGCAGGAGCTGCAGAACACTCACAGATCCCACTGCATGCCAGCAAMCTGCAGTGAGCACCTGCACTGCAATTGTGTTCAAAAAGAAACCACTGCCCAAACCAACAGGCTGTAATCACCAAGTGCAATTTCCCTTCACAAGTCACAGAATAATGGAATCACAGCACGGTTTGGGCTGGGATATCCAGATCCACCCCCTGCCACAGGCAGAGACACCTTCCACTAGCCCAGACCTCCAAGCCCCAACCAGCCTGGCCATAAATGCTTATTAACACTGTACAATGAGAGCCAGACTATTTACACATAAAGAGCAGGAGAAATAGGGCAAACGCATCTGTATAAAATCAGTGTTTTCTAACATAATTTATAATTTCATCATAGCATAAAGCACCCAGCAGTCTCACATAGAGTTTAATACTAAATTATCATCCTGCTGCCCAAGGTAACTTGCATACAATCACGGAAATCACCAAGAGTAGAGGCAGAGGCTGAACCTCTGTCAGCTCAAGATTGGAAGAACTATTTCTACCGGGCTTCAGCAGCCCAGGGACACTTTAGAGTAGAGCATCCCTTGGTTTTTGCCAAAGGAATGAACACAGATTAAACTCCCCAAGCACTAAGCCACACACATCARAGACTCACCCAAGGTGGACCAGCCRAACATGGCCCCCACCACGATGAGGCGGATGATGAAGCTGACGGTGCCCGTGCTCGCCAGCAGCACCAGCCTGCACACCAGCATGGCCACGGTCAGTGGCATCACACAGTACCCCAGCACACACAGGCTCTGGAAGAAGGAGCTGCACAGGGAGACAGCAACAGGGAAACAGCAGTCAGAGCTGGCAGGGCAGAATTCCGTGAATGGGAGTGCGTGAACTGCCACAAAACAAACCCACACTCACATGGTCCCGCCCAGAAGCTTCGAGTTGAGCGTGATGACAACGGCCCCAAACCAGATGAGGACGAAGACCTCGGCAAACTGGGGCCCTCCATCGTCCTTGCTGTCTGCAGAGCCACCCTGCAGCATCCTGGATGGGGAACAGGGAGAAACAGCTGGAGCAGGGAACAGACAGATGGAGGCATTTTCCTAGACTGAGTCCCAACACTGATCCCCAGTTATGCTGCAGGCCCATAGCTTTTCATCCATTTTCTATTTCCATTATATCCTCAGTTTTGCACAGGAAAGGAAAATGGTTGTGGCTCAACTGAGGTGATTTCAGTCCATTTGTTTTTCCTGTTTTAAGGGCTGTGAAAGCAGAAGAGGATCAAGCTATGGGCGACAAGCTAAGATGGAAATTAAAGTACCAAAGTTTTGGTACCTCTCAAAGCAGCATAGYGTGTGATGGAACAAACCATCCCCAGAGCAAGCCTGGAATAACTATGGGATGCAGGCACCACAGCTGAATCAGAACAACTTGGGACACCTTCAGTAAAACCATTCCTAGGACAGGGGACCAGGAAGAGTTCATCCTGAAATCCTAAATTTAAGGACAGGAGGTTCTAATGGGCTTAAAGTGTCACAAACACATTTTATCAGAGAACTCAATCAAGCAGTGCTTGCACAAGACAGAGAGGGATCAGAAGAAGCTGATCTTAACACATTAATCAGCAATTTTTAACATCTCATTTCCCTCATGCACCAGGCTACAAAACCCCAGATTTCCCTGGAATACTCACAGAGCCAGGGAGACACACAGCACCAATGGGCCCCACAGATCCCCTGCAGGGAGAGGGAAAACACATCACCAAAGTCACAGAACCATCTCAGTTCCACTTTCCTGTGAGTGACAAAGCCCCTTGCCCAACTCACCAGGTGCCATTTTCCACATCTCACTGCTTTACAATTTTCTTATTCATCACCTTACACCATAATCTATAATAAAATTMATTCAAGACCCACCAGCTGCTAAAGCTCCCAGTTCCACCCATCCTGCCCCRTGTCCCTGTCACAGAGCCCTGGTGACATCCTGACATCTCAGCTGTTCAGAACAGGATGTTCAACCCTCCTGAATCCCTGTCCCACTGGGGGCAAACCCTCTGCACATCAGGAAGGCCCTCAGCACGTACAGTCCCTGAGGAGTGCGCTGCTCTTCCTGGGATACATGACATGGACAAACTTCTTCCCAACRGCCTTCAGGTCCCTCATCTGAAACAAACACAAAACACTTTAATTTATCCCCTCACAAAAATTACAGGCCCCAGCTAAAGCAGAGAGACAGAAGTAAAGGAATCTTGATGGCAAATTGGGAAAGGATCATACCCAAGAAATCCYCTACTATCCTCTGCAACAAACAATGACTTTTTTGCTACAGTCTTTAACAGCCACAGCATCACATCCTTTTCTTTATCAACCATAATACTGTATTCTTTAATAACACCAGAGTATAATAAAAAATTTGTTTGCTCCTCTAGGAAAAGAAAATAAATGAAAAATACCTTCAGTTTGTAGAGTTTCTCATAAGCTCCCCCCGAGGCCTCTGCCCTTACAATTATTTCGAAATCACAGAGAAACTTTAGGCCACAATTCAGACATGTTTTGACCCACAGGAATTTGTTTTACATGACGAGTTCTARAACAAACCATGCTTATGTACAGATTAGCAGAGCTGTGCAAAAACACAACAGCTTGTGCTTTTTTTGCACAACAGCTGCCAAAGACACAAAAAAATCTGAGTTTTACCCCAGCCAAGGGCTCAGACTCACAATCGTGTCCTTGACTGGCTCATCCAGCGTGGAGTAATCCTCATCAGGAGAGTGAGAKCCCACAGGGACAGTGATCTCCCCTTCCACTGGGATATCCTGGGGTATCGACACATCTGCCAGACCTGGGAACTGAATGGATAGAAACCTTTAGGAAGAAACACAAACATGCTCGTGTGCACTTTGGACGGGCTGGAGATGGGCACAGMTGCTTAGAATTCAGGGATACCATGAATAAAAGATTTTGCAGCAGGGCCGGGCTGTCACTGCCCGATGTGAGCAGCTGAGCAGGTGTGTGTGATCCTGTCCTGTCACCCTCAGGCCCTGCTCTCTGTGCTCTGTTCCGACAGCATCAACTGAAAGCAGTAAAAAGCTGCGTTTTAAGGGAGATGATGATTGAGGGCTGCACATCAGCATCACCCCCGAACACTCGCCTTTAACAGCCCTGGGGAGCTGCACGGACAGCCCCGGGCCGGGCACACACCGAGGCTGCTCAGGGACCAGGCTTAACCAAGCTGATTTCCTCCGCGCCAGCGGGCGAGGACAGCTCCCGGATGCCCGGAGGTGCGGGCAAACAGAGCACAGCCCGACCGGTTCTACGGCAAACGATGGGGCATGGCAGGGAGGGCAGGGAGGGCACGGCCGGACACCGGCGGCTCCCTGTGCCTGCTCCTGTCCCTGTCCCCTTGGCTATCTTGGTGCCCGGCTATTTTCCCCTCCCCTTTCCCCGTCTTCGCCCTCATGACAAGCCGCCGCCCGCCCAGGCCTCCAGATCCCACAGCGCCTTTGCCCGGCACCTGACCGACTGCCCGGCCCTGCTCAGGAAGAGAGGGAAACCCGAACGCCCCCGGCTCGCCCGGCACCCGGCCTCCCCCGCCCCCTGCTGACCCCCATCTCTCCCCAGTGACCCCCCGGCCGCACTCACCAGGGTCCCCCCG